CCTTGTCTGAAATGTACGGCCGACTCCCACTGTACCACATCTGCAATGTTCTCTTCGTCGCTTTCACTGTGGCCTGCGCCAAGGCCCCTAACCTGGGGGGACTTATTGCATTCCGACTCCTTGCTGGTCTTGCTGGATCCTGCCCGCTGACAATCGGAGCTGGCTCGTTAGCTGATATGATCTCCAAGGAGAAGCGTGGAGCTGCCATGTCTTCGTGGGCTCTCGGACCTCTTTTTGGACCAGTAATTGGACCAATTGGTAAGTGAAACTTTAGGTTGAGTGGTGCCCAAAGCTGACAACTCCAGCTGGTGGATATCTTTCGGCAGCGAAGGGCTGGCGATGGTCTTTCTGGGTTGTTGCTATTGTTGTAAGTAAAATCTTATATCTATACTTGGATATTGAACCAAAGGCCGACGTTGACTATCGATAGGCTGGTGCTATCACGATTGTTGCTTTCATTTTTATGAGAGAAACATATGCGTACGCTCTTCTTGAGAAGAAGACCAAGAAGCTGCGCAAAGAAACAGGGAACACTAAGCTTCGGTCAATCCTTGACAATGGCACGACCACGGAGGAAGTCTTCCGTCTGGCCATTACGAGGCCTACTAAGATGCTTCTCTTCGCGCCCATCGTGTCGCTACTGTCATTTTACATGGCTCTGGTGTACGGGTATCTCTACCTCCTCTTCACAGCCATGCCATCACTCTTTGAAGGAGAATATCATTTCTCCAGCGGATCAGTTGGCCTGTCGTATATTGGTCTCGGAGTTGGCTCCTTAACAGGCCTTGTCATTTCTGGAGCATCAATAGACCGCTTTGCTCAGTATCTTACTAGCAAGAATGGTGGAGAGCCCAAGCCAGAGTATCGACTTCCGTTCATGGGGGGAGCCTGCTTCATCGTTCCGGCTGGATTATTTATGTTCGGATGGTCTGCTGAGAATAAAGACCACTGGATTGTGCCAATAATCGGTACTTCGTTCTTGGGATGTGGCATGATCATCGTATTTGTAAGTGCTCTACCTCTCCATGCTGCAACTCGATCTCAGCTTGCTGACTCTTGACGAGATGTGCATCTCCGTCTACCTGGTCGATGCCTACGTTCAGTATGCTGCGTCTGCCATTGCTGCAAGCACTGTACTTCGTTCGCTGGTTGGAGCATTATTACCTCTTGCAGGACGAAGTATGTACAAGAGCCTAGGTTATGGATGGGGAACCTCACTGCTAGGCTTCATTGCAGCTGCAGCAATCCCATTGCCGTTTGTATTCTACAAGTACGGCGAAAGGATTCGAAGAAAGAACTTGTTTGACGTCAAGTTCTAGATGAATAGACAATATGCGTATTTATGCTATGATTGTTAGCTGGCCAAATTGAAGCGAAGCACAAACTCAAATAGTAATCCGCAAAGAGGTCTTCACTCCTTGAACTTAGTAGGATATCTCACAGTAATATTTGATATAAAGTTATGTGGGGTCCTGTGTGGCACCTGATCAAGTATCTGTGGACTGCTGTTATTTTGCTGCAGGCAAATATTCCTTTACGGATTCTGTCTTTTGCCAAACACTACAAATCTTATTAGTGTCCGGATGGTAAGGACAGAGCACACATGACCGCCCTCTATCGTCACAATCTTCACCCACTACCACAACTGCTTCTCAACAACATCATATCATCATCACCCATCATCGTCGCGACATCTTACACCCTGCCATTTCCACCAACTCATCGGTACATCCCTATAACATTTGCATCATCAAAGGAGTAACAATAATAAAGAAACATCGGTGGAAAAATATTCCCCGCTCCTCACCACAATACTTGCAGCCTGTGATTGCCATATGAACGTGGGTGGTATGTGCTGACAGTCAAAGCATTGGCCTAAGCTTATCCAGGCTCCAGTTCTTGCGGCGAGGACTTTTCTTTGAGGCATCCGTAAAGCTCTCAAAGACTATAGTTGTCGTTGTGGTAGTGTTCGAAGTTTAGGTCTGTCATATCGTTTCCGCATAGTATCCTCCCTCTATCATATATTCAATAGTTGGCTCTCGATATTAAGATACTTTTAAGCCTGCACTATACGAGCTGAAGTCTACACCCAGGACGGTAGATGGCAGCCTTGTCCAGGGAAGCACTCTTTCATCCATTGCCTTATCATTCCAGCCTCATAGTTGGAGGTCTAAGGGGAAGGATATAACTGTATTCTAAGTTGGATATATCTTATGAAGACGAATAGGAAGACGCTAAGGAGGAGGCCATTATATGCTCGCGGAAATCTTTATTCAAATACTTAAAAATTCAGATATCCGGGAACATAACGCTGAAGTTTATTTGTATATTCGAAAACGCATGCCTCTTTTAGTTTGCTGACCATGCTAGTCTCTGTGTCATCTAAAGAGGAGTTACTATGCACCAAACGCCGGACTACTCTTAATGGCGAACAAAGAGAGGCAGCCGCATATCGAATTGCCGATATGGTTTCTGCAATGTTTGTAAATGGCGGTCATAACCGCATTTCTCATCGACTTTTAATGCCATGTGTGGTTTCTGCCAACAGCTTGAGATGTAATAGATCATTCAGCCGACGAGATAATGCATGTGGTAAACATTGGGAGATCCGCGTCAGAGTATACGTTTGACGTATCTCCTTAAGCCCCCCGAAGCTTGTAGTTCCATGCTAGAATGTAGTAGAGCTCTTTGCAAACCGCTTAGCTGATATAAGTAAATATACTATCTAGTTAGCTGTTAGGTCACTGGGACGGATTAGTATATTCTCAGTCTAGATAATCTCGGTAGCTATATATATGGCTTTTAAACTATTGACTTATCTATCTTAAGCTTCTACCACTATCCTATAGAACTTAATAGCAAATAGGTATACAGTCTAGAGAAGGAGAGAAAGCTTAAGACCTTTACCCTAAATAATACGAAGACTTAGGTAACTTAGTATAATCTTACAATAAGCCTTATATATATATTTCTAGGTTTGTTTAATATCTTAAATCAAGGTCCGATATTTCCTTGCTTCCCGAGGAGAGAAAACCCAGCCTCAGCCAGTCTAGTCTTCCATGCCTAGTCTGGGTCCCCTAGTTAAAAGATCACGTTACAACTCTCAGTGTTCCATTCCGATCTTTACATTCTTATCCAGGTCCCTCTAATTCTGAGGCTTTCTTCACTTCGGGACTCTCTATGTGAATCTCTGCTCATGCAGGCCGCTCTGCTGCTATTGAATTGGCAGCAACAGTCAGGGCAAACCATGAAAAGGCTTGAGTTGGCCAAGAGACGTCAGAAGAGCCTATCGTCAATCCAAATTAGCGAGACCTGGCGTCTTAAAACATCTTCTGAGAACCTCCATGGCCGCTAAAAGCGAGGAAGACAAAGAAGGCGAAAACCAGCAACGATGACGGCAAGGGACGACAGCAAGGGAAGGTCGTCAGTAGATGACAAGGCCGAATATAACGAGGAGGAGGAATTGTTCAGCTCTGATAGAAAGGTCAGGAGACCAGGAGGCCTCACCCAGAGTGGCAATCTTATTCCAATGCCTAACGCGTTCCCAACTGATCCTACACAGCATTTCAACTCACCATAATAACCCCGTCATGATGCCTACTGGGCTCCCTCAGAATGGCAGTCTTATTCCTATACCTGGCGGCTCCCTATGCCCCCTGGCCTCCTGGTTTACTCCGGGCCCCCAAACCGAGCCACGCAGGTAGACTCGACTCACCTCGATGAATGCCATGATTCAGAAGTGGCCGTGGAACTGCCCGTCCTCCCCAACCATGAACGCCGCCACTTCCTCAATGAGCTCCTAATCCCCCTATTATTACCCATATCCCAAACTGGAGCTTTGGAAGCATCTGGCCACCTGCTTCTAACGGATAATTACGATATTAGTCTTAAAACATGAGAGTGACTAGTAAAGTATTTTATAGTTTCTGCAACTATTAATATATCTTAAGAAAACCAAAGGCCCTCCCTATCTCCCCCCTGAAGCCTCAAGGGCTTATTGCGATCCAATCCATGAATCGTAGCTACGGGACAAGGATAACGCTGTCGATGCCCGTTAACAGAGCGACCGCCAGCAAAGGATAGCAAACCAAAGACGAACTCGGCCGCAAAATTCGCTCCTTCAGCACTGATTTTCAGCTGGCCTCCGGGCGTCCTGGCTAGTAGGAACCATTATGGGGTTATTATGGTGAGGTAGAGCCCCTATGGTAGTTAGATCAAGGCCCAGGAGGCCAGGAGGCACTCCCTGACCGGCAGCTCCTATAACAGATGCAAGAGCATCTTGGTACTACTGATATCCTATGCAGCAACAAGACCACCAGCAGCAGCAACAATCGTAACCAAATATATATATAACTATCACTACTAACATGAATCATCGACACAACCTATACAACCTCAGCTCAATCTATATCCAACTTCCCAAGTCTCTCAACACCAAGATAAATCAATCTCAGCAGAGTCACAGGCCCTAAGACAGACAATCAGGCCTTTGGCACATGCATTAACTGCATCTAGGAGTAAGGACGGGTCCAAGTCGCTTATGCATCATAGCCTGCGAATTCCCAAATGCATAGGGCGCCAGGATGCTGGATGTTTTTACGATAGCCTCGCTCCTTTCACGGCACTGGCGACCATCCAGCGGTGGAGGCCCGAGTTATTCCATTGTTATGTTCGAAAATGCTCCCAAACTGCTTTCGTTATCCTCGAAAGAGTGCAACCTAAGGCCACGCGCCTCTTCAAGGGATTCTTGAGTTCGAGATATAGATCGTAACGAAGTCTCTCAGCGGTAAGAGAAACCTGCCCCTTGTAGAAGGTCAAAACAGTGATCCGTCCTAAGTCAACAAAGCTAGGCGATAAAGGCCAGGCGATGTCAGAAGAGCCGATCGTTAATACATACACATTAGCGAGACTTGGCACCGCATAAGGTAATGAAGACATTGGCTGCTTTGTAGAAATAGGTGACATTATATGGGCCCCGTTCATTAAGCTCAAGTTTCTGATCAGCGCAAAAGCTGGCCGTAGACGTCGAGGGCTCGCTGGGCGATCTCAGTGACATGAACAGGATTGATGATGGCGAAGTTGAGAACATTGACCTCGGTGCTGAGCTGTATGCAGCCCTTTTCAGTAGTCTTGTGACACAAGTAACACTTAGTCTCATTATTATTGAACTGGATTCGATTCATTCGCGAATAGGATATGGCCTTAATCCTGTTTGGCAGCAAGATTGATAGAGGAGTGGGATGGTGGGAGGAGAACCAGATGCGCCTCAGACTGGGAGATCTTATAGAAAAGGTCGGTGATGTTATTTGAGCTCTGTGAAAGAAATAGGTACAGTAGTTTGGGGTGTAGATACTTGAAGTCGAGAACATTTTCTCCAGATAGGTCCGTCCAAAGACAGCGATCTCCTTCTCCCGTCCCTGCGGGCAATTGCTACCTAAGGTAGTTGCAAGTTTTAGGTGGCCGATTTAAATTTTGGCTGAGTTTTGTCAATTGTTCCTTGCAGCTTTTTTTCTTTCCCCCGTCTCATTCTCATTTGGAATTAATGACCTCGGCGGAGAGTCAAGATTCTTTTGCGCATCATTTGCAAATATTGGCTGAAAAGTGTAGAATCCTGTGTTTTACTGAGCATGACAATTTCGATAGAACTTGCAGCGAAACTAACCTCCAACCACACCGCAAAAGACAGTCAAAGCCAAAGGCAATGCTCTCTCGAAAACATGCATTTCGAGTATACTATGTCAGAAGGAAGCGATTAGGTTGTCTTGAAGTATTTCGGCCAACCCCTAGTTCTGAGCAAGTCTCAAACGTCGTTAAGCCAAGGGTACAGGTAGCCACCTCGGACTCGACCTTGACCTAAATAATTGGGACCACATTTATAGTGGACCGTCCACTGAAACTTTGTCAAAGCCCCAGGACCTCGCGTGTCTGTAAGCACTTACGCTCGTTCCCGACGCGTCTCCCAGTTTCCTCGACCGCGTTCCCCGCCACGCCCCAGCAATGAAATCAATTCAAGAGTTACGTACCTGCTGAACCGTGAACACCACGCTCGGTATTGATATTTCCACCTCCATCTCTCTACTAATTCAAGTCGTTTGAGCAAAAATCTCGCAACTCCATCATGCATGCGACAAGATAATGTCATATGGACAATGAGTAATTGGAAGGAACTGGGAGAAGTCCCTGATTCTGAGGAAGAAGATGGTTTCGAGAGCCAAGAATTACCGTCATTATCCACGATCACGCAGACGAATAAGATTATTTGTGAACGACCCAACAGTCAACAAGTTGACGCGGCCAACCATGAGGAGAAGGATCAAGATCGCGACATCTGGGATGTCCCCAGTTCCTCACAAGAGCTTACCCACCATGCTCTTTCAACTAAGACACCTGCTCGAATCTTAGAAGTAACGCCAAAGCAGCCCGAAAGACACGCATTTCCTCCTGATATCTACGATATTCAATCATCATCGCCTCTATCATCCATACACTCGGATGCTGACCTACCTGATATCAGCAGCCTTGACCTTGAACGACCGAATGTTACGCCCGAAGCTACGCTGTCGAATGAAGCCCAGGAAAACAATACGGCCAGTAATGGAACACCAAACATAGCGATTGAACGATCTTCACCGCCCCCAGCTCCCGAATTCGAGGACAACCGGAATACTGAGCATTCATCCTCGTCACTAGTCCTTGGAGATGACCATGCGATATCCATACCTGGACGAATTCTGGACACTATCTCCGAGAACCAGGCTGCCCAACAAGCTGCTATCCGTTACGAACGGTCATTTCGCCCTAGAAAGCCTATCCAAGAACGCCCTTATGCCATTGAATTGTCCCGCTATTCCAATACGCTCAAGAGCCATGGCGTCCGGCCAATCAGACTTGCAATGGAAGGAGAAAAACGACGTCGACAACAGGCTGAGCAAGATTCTTCGCAGGATAGGGACTTTGAAGATGATAGCCAAGGCTCAAACATACCGGAAGTATCTGATGAAAGCCAATTGAAGGGTTCTGAGGACTTCTTGGATGCCTTAGACACACTCGATCTTCCCTCACCTTCACCACCGAAGACGTCGCCAATGAACGATCGTGCTGGGCCCAGCAGTCAGGCAAGCTCGGCAGGCGATACAGAAAACACGAGCATGGCCGGTGATGATCTTCCAGCTTTACAAGACTTGCTGAGACAACCGATTACCACGACTTCGAGGCCGTCTGGAAAACGGAAATCGTCACCGTCTCGGTCTTCCACAAGGAAGCGCAAGAGATATGATATTGTGGATAGCGATCCCCTTGAACCTGCATCTGTTTTCAGACTTGGGCCTGGCACAACAGACTCACCCGCCGCAGCACGTAGTTCTAGACGACACGTCAATGAAGAGAAACATCAACGTGAGTCTTCGGAATCTTCATTAGTGTCAGCCAAACAGACCGAGTCATTTATGAGGTTGACACAGCGACCCACCATCTTCAATGTGAGTGACTCCGAGGATGAACTCGCTGGCCCTACCACCACCCAGCAGCTAGACCATGAAGATGCCGCATCTCAATCTGAATCCGACTCAGCCTCTGAGAGTGGCTCTGAGATTATCAACACGGTTGGCCGTCGCATTAGAGGAGTCCTTCCTGCATCTTGGCTACGGCTAGATCAGCAAGCTGGTCACAAGAAGGTCCCGAAAGACATTCATAAGCGAGCTGTTGCCTTTTCGCCCGAACGAGAAATAAGACGCGGTGTTGCACAGAGGCGTGTCGCCTCGTCACATTCTGTCACAAATTTTGAGATGTTCTTTGAAGACTCTGATGAAGATTCGCCAACACCTGCATCAGCCCTGCAACAGGAAACAACTGACAATGTATTCCACAACCAAACCCGCCTAACCATTGACGACGGGCCTATAACCATTTCAGAAATCCTGTCTGATGATGAGGGATCTGTGGTCGAGGACAACGCTATTGACCCTATGTTTACTGGACGGAAACGACAATTGAAGCTTGCGGACTCTTTTCGTGGCCCAGCAAAACGACACAAAACTTCCGATGCTCAACGGAAACAAGTAGCACCCAAGGAACCCCATCAGCCCAGAATTACTAGCATGCTCGCTGGGACTCGGGGCACTTCTGTGCCTGCACCTGAGCTTGTCAAGAAAAAGTACCGCCATCCTACATTGAAACCCAAGTCCAATGGAAAGAAACGGTCTACGAAGAACAAGCCGTATGCGCCACCTCGACTAAGTATTCTGGACGTTGTCGAAGCAGACGCACCAAGGTTTCTCAAGATTGCTGCGAGGTCTGCTACCCGGCGCCGAGACATGGGTCGGAGTAGTCCTGGTAAAAAGTTGATCAAACTTGCTACTAGAGAGGACCATATTGACGCGACATCTGTCTTGAATAACTGGAGGATCGGTTCGATCCCCCAACGCCAGTCGGTCACTGCTGCTCGAAAAGCCAAGAAAGCCAAAGCCAAACCGAACCCTAAGTACAGGGAAACGAAGCGACCTCTGCGTGAAACATCTGGGAATGGCTCTTCCATCCCAAGACGGATGCCATTGGCCCTAGGAGCATCTCGACGCCTGGTCAAACAAGTGAGCCAGGCAGGTTCAGTCAGGTATCAGCCAGACAGTACTCATGCAGAAACTCGAATGAGCCAGAACGGCCTTACTAGCACACCCTTGTCCCGTTCTGGCTCAGGAGTCGTGCGCCCGGCTCAACTGGAAACGGATGAAACAGACCAGACTAGTCGCTTCTTATTCAACGCAACCAAGAACCGTCTGGATCGTCTGTACCGGAAGCAACGTGGTGACCTTTCTGCTTCAAGCATCATGACCTTTGACCATGAGCCCGACACGTTTTACTCAGCTAGTCCACCTCCTGAACAAAATCCTGTGCCTCTCCGAGCCGTTGAGGAACCATCTCAAAACCTGAACAAATCGCGATTTCGGAAGAAGACCAAACCTCGACGCATTGATGTCGAAGCACCACAATTTAGTCGTGCGAATGATCCTATCCCCGTCGAGTTTGCCTCAATCTCAGAGCCTGCTCAGTCTATAGTGACGAATGAGGAGAAACTTCAAGGTTTGGGGCCGTATGGCACACAGTACACCCATCATTTTGAGACTTTCCCTCTAGATGCCCAAGTCTACTTCCACGAGTCAACTCTTATTGGAAGTGGTGTGTTTGAATCTGTATCGAGTGCCCCGAGTTGCCAACATCTACTGGAAACTCGACCACGGGTATCGTTGAGCTTTGGAGAGCAAATCCTCAGATGGGGCCGTTGGGACTCGCAAGTGTCCTCTGAGCTGGGTATGCTTCTCGATTCCATCGCAGACCAGCTCGAATACACATCAGTCAACAAACAAGCCCAAGACCCCAAATTTGTAAAGAGTGCTGCAGGGTTCATCATGAACTTCATGCTGAATTCTTTGAGCTTCACGGACCATACACAGGCGAAGTCTTTCATTGGGAGGGCGCTTGAGGCATTCCAGGGATTCAATAGCCGCATACAAGCGGTACTGGGACGTGGCGATAACACCACACAACATCAGTATCTATCTATTGCAGGCGTCTATGATTGCTTGCTTCTTGCCACGCTCTTTGTTCTGAGACTTTGCCAAAGTGAACCCTCTTTGGCGAGCGATCAATTTCAAATGGAGGATCTGGTGAAGGACTTGGCCAGAACTGCAATTATATCGCTCTCCAAGGCTGGGACGGACAACATAAAAAAAGTGTACAGTGACCTGAAGAACTCACGGTCACGAGAGCGAGGATTGAGAGATGATGTGCCTGCCATTCACTCCTGGCTTATTACCATGAAGACTCTGGAACATGCCCATATTCCTCGGGGCTCATTCTGGGATATTCTGTACGCCGTCATAGCCACGCCTGAGGTTTCAGAAAGCCTCGATGCGACGGAGCACGAGCGGTTGTGGAAAACCATGTTCCTTCTCCTCCCACTCACTGAGTTTAACGACAAAGGTATTGTTGCTACAGGTCGAAGGCATGATGCAGTTGTCGATGGCTGGGCATTACCACAAAGACTGCTCAAGAAAGTTTTCCAGGTTTACAAGAATAACCCACGGCAGTCACCAAGCTTCAACAGCTACTGTCGGGCACTCGTTGGCCGTTGCCACTATCTTGTTCAGCAATGGGGCTGGCACAAATGCGTAGCCGTGATTGGTGTCATCTTTGACTTCTTTGGCTCGCAGGACCTCGCTCATCTGCGCAATGAAGAGGTATTCGCTTCGCCCAAGTTTCTGGATGAGCTCTCAGGAAGCCCCTCATTGTCTGTTGATAAGGCCGACAAGTGCTTCCACATCTTTCTCAAGCTCGTTGCCTTGAGTATCAAGAAGTTAGGCGCCGCTGGCTCGTTGAAAGACATCCGGAACCTGATAGCCCGGACAATGCCAAACCACAACCGGCAACTCCTAAAGGAGCAGACGATCCAGGAGCGTGATTTGGCTGCGTTACGAAACCACCATGATCTGCTCTGCACCCTTTTCTGGGCCTCGCCGGCAGAACTTCGCCCAGGCGCCCATTTGATCGAGCGACTTGTCGCCCCAGCAAGCTCCCACAAAGAGGCGTGCTTAATCAATGTCAGAGCCTGGAACCAGTTGGCCAGGTTTATCATCGCGTCCGGAGAAGCTACGACAGCTTTAAGGCCGTTCACACAGTGGCGGAACAGCTTTTTCCAGTCCATGATGCAACAGTTTGACTCCATACAGTCTGATATGCAACAGCAAATCTTGGCAATGTCTAAAGATGCCAGTCACACAATCGACCCAGACTTGATCAATGCCGTGGTGACCATGAATAAAAAGGCTACAATGGACGTACTACATGTCTCGGTGGCAGCATCATTAGATGTTATGAGGCATGCACCTAATTTGGAGGCTGCCACGTTTGCCCTGAACACACTGCAACTACAGCAAGTCTTCCGGCGATCCAGTGCATATCCCTTAGAGCTCGACTGGTCTATTCTCCGTTCTTCCCTATCCACCTTGGAAGTTTTCCTCGCCCGTGTTGATGAGTTCAAGGATGACGAAGACAGTCAACAGAGCGAGAGCCAAATCTTGAACTCAGCTCAAGCGGACGATGCTTTCTTGGTAATTGATCACGACCTATCCAAAGCCTACTTCTCAATGGCAAGATGCATTCTCTCCTCACAGGGAGAAGTTGGCGAATCCCCTTCTGAAGCTGTGCAGAGATCCCAGTGCACTGAGCAGGTCATAATCTTGACAGCCCAGCTTGTAGTAAGGTTCATTACTGGTGGACTGTTGCGCCTTGCCGATATGTTCAGACCGGGAAAATATAGCCTGTTCGAGGAGGTTCCAGCCAAACTTAACCTCGACCAACGACAACATCTTGTCTTATTCTTAACCACGCTCCTTAAGCACAACTTTGATGATTTTAGCGAGGCAAACCTTTCTCTTTCAGAGGTCTGGGCTCTATCAATTGTCAAGCCAAGACCATACCTATCGTACGAAAACCAGTTTGCGGAGCAGTTGCTGCGAAAGCAGAAAGAATTTGTCCCAGATGCAGTCGTTGGACTTGCTATTAACCCGGACTACAACACAAACCGAGACCTCTTCGAATTCCTCATAACGTGGATGCGCAAGTCTTTGCGAGATGCTGGACCAGCGCTCAAGAAGATCATCGTGTCAGAACACTCCAAGACCCTCAAGTTGGTGATGCAGCAAATCATCGGAGATTTGCGGACGATGTCTCACGATGCCTCTGAACATTCTAGCTATGTGGTCTTTGTTCGGGATATCATTGCGCTTATTAGAGCTCACGGCTCTGATATTTGCACAGTCGACAAGTATTTCTATCAGATCAGTAAGGAGTATTCGCCGTCTATCCAGGACCCGCAACTGCAAGTGGCTGGCATGATGTCTTACGGGCTACGGCTGAGCGAAGGGGACACCAAGGTCATCCACCAGGTATTCTTCTTCCTCTCTAACAACTTCAAGATTGCGCTTAAAGACAACAAGCTTCAAGGCGAAGTTGAGCTTTTGTGCCGCGGAATGGAGAACCCGGGCATTCTATCTTTCATTCTGAACAAGATGCTACCAGCGATTGTCAAGACTGCAACCGTAGAAAGCTCGATATTCCCCATGGTTGAAGTTTATGCAGGAGCACTGCGAGTTTTCTTCACCCGCGATGTAATTCCTCGAGAGTTGGCAGAAGGCGAACTGCCGCATGTGGTTGTTCTTTTACGTGCCATTGCCGACTTCTTTGATCGACTCAGTAAAAAAGACGGACATCTCCGGGCCGAGGAAGTCCATCTGGTTACACAGCTGTTGTCATTGTCAAACAGCTTATGGCCTCCTCTATATGGCTTGTCACTTTCTGGTATATCTTGTGGTTCTTGGACAGATACTGTGCAAGTTCTCAAGCATGTGAGGAACGGGTTGTCAAGGGCCGAAACATATATCTCTGACATGGTCGATCTTGAAGACTATTCTGTCAGAGCAGAAACCCTCCTATCCGGCTTTCGGCAGCAAAGCATGGCGTCCCCACAGAATGGTGATGGTGTCAGAAGCTTCACGGATAATCTCCTCAACGACGTTCGGAAAATCTGGGTCAATACTGGAACAAGAATCACCATTCAAGCTCCTGGAAGAGGTTTCACACAAACGCAATCTAACCAAGGAACACCTGTACCAATATGGAATGCAGAGGTCTTGGTGACTGTCTTGTACGGGGAGTTGAGGACATGGACTCATTGGTGGAATAAAGTGTTTGGCAAGGAGCCAGAACAAGTAGACTTGATTGAACCTGTCTTGTTTTAATCAGCATAGCAACGGCGTTGGGTTTACAAATGTTTGCGGATTATGGATTGGATCGCATAGGGGATTTTGCATGTGGTTTCGTTTCTCGGAATGAATAGAGTCTGTGAGACGATATATATATATATGTATATATATATATGTCTTTATGTATATGTACCCGTGGAATTGACCTTGTGGAATATGTTTTCGTGACTGTTTACCATGTAAGAAAATGAAAAAGTTGTGGCAGGTAGGTAGTTATATAAGTGACTGACTACCTACGACCTAGGTATGCCTGTATGTGATGGTCGGCCGTCGGGTAATTCCACGAGTGACGTATCTTGGACCGTGCGACGCGCCAAACGCGTCTCCCCGATAAGCTCATTTATGCGTATCTCGAAGACTTCGTGAGCTTCAAACCTGCAATTGTAGCTTAAGACGGTAGTATTGCCCAAATTCAACGAACCACGATGGCTTCCCTGTTTGGTCTTCCGGACGAGGTCATATTAGCCCCCTTATTCGAATCATTTCCTTGTCGAGAGCATCAAATCCGCTCCCTAGCAACGCTGCTGCATGTATGTGATGTTTACTCACCAACCACCCAACTTTCCACGTCACCATAACAGACTGACAACATATAGCCCAATGCAGCTCCTTGTCGAAACCTCGTTATCCACGGTGCAACGGCTACAGGCAAATCCGCCATCACCTCTCAACTTGTCTCCGATCTCGTCACCAGTATTAATAGCGATGATACCTCAGGGGGTCTGCAAGCTGCTGTCGTCAACTCTGTACAATGCATCACAGGACGACATCTCTTCGAGCGCATAGTTGGTCAGGTTGCTGAGGCGCTGCAGTGGGAGGAAGTGCCTCGGCGATGCGAAACACTGGCGCAATTGACGGTTGAGATGGTCAAGATGGTTCAGTATCCAAAGAGGGATGCGAGGTGGCGTTTTATCTTGGTGCTGGATGCCATTGATCGACAAAGAGATGCCCCGGCCACATTGTTACCGGCTCTGGCGAGGTTATCAGAAATTGTAAGCTCCCAACAAACAACCTTGATACCTACACACGTACATGTACAAAGCTAACAGCAGCAACTGTCCAGATTCCATGTCTCACCTGCGTCTTCATAGTCACATCTCCGCCCGCTGGCTTCCTACGGTCACCTTCGTCAGCGCATCTTCTTTTTCCTCCCTACGAAAAGAAGGGCTTCGTTCGCATCCTCTCGCTCACGCCACCGAAATCAATTGCTACATGCACGCAGCAAGAAACCACCGATCTTTGGACTCGATTCTGCGCCGCCGTTTACGACTCCCTCACAAAATCAGCGTCTCGCACACTGCCATCGTTTAAGCACAGCTGTCATGCGCTTTGGCCGCGCTTCACAGCCCCCATTCTAGCGGGAACACATCTGCCGAAAGAGTTCTCGAAGCTGCTAATAGCAGGAAGAGTGCATTTCCAAGATGAGTCTTTGCTCAACCCAAGCATTGTCTCTATTCGCCCAAAAAACAACCCTCTTGAAGCCGTCGGAACCAAAACTACAGCCTCAGCAACCGATCTCACGAACCTCCTCCCTACGACAGCTCGTCTCCTGCTGCTATCAGCTTATCTCGCCTCCCACAATGCAACCCGTCATGATCTCACACTCTTCTCGACATATCATCTTGGCCGCAAGCGCCGCCGAGGAGGTATCGTCGCTCGGGGAGCCACACGGACCAAGCATCGCAAGATCGCCCGCAAACTCCTTGGTGCACACGCCTTTGTCCTCGAGCGCATGATGGCTATCTTTGCCGCTGTACGAAATGAATGGGCAGATGGCACTGCCGTAGGCGCAGCCGGCCTCGATGCAGATGTAGCCGTGGCTGTATCGACGCTTGCGAGCTTAAGACTGTTGACACGAGTAGGAGGCGCAGGAGATGTCATGGATCGAGGAGGCAAGTGGAGGATCAATGTTGCATGGGAGGTGATACGAGGAATAGGGAGAAGTATAGGCGTCGAAGTTGAAGAATGGCTAATAGATTAATGCCCGAAGCATATAGTAGGCCAGTAGGGCATCTCCTCCAAATCATGACATATATCAACCAAGATTTTAAACCACATCGTTAATACGTCACGCTCGAGCTGCGATCGCAGGCTCACCTATCCAAAATAGTCCAGCATTATCATTCCATATGCACGTAATGATACATTGCATCCGGCGCCCCCTTTGGAAAAAAAAGGAGGACCTCACAAGTGTCGTTGTGTCTTGTCTCTCAAAAACAAAGAACGCCATCCCATGATATGTCATACAGGAACCCAAAGCCCTTCATCAAGATATCGGGATATTAAGTAACAACAACACCTTACACGAGAAACTCTAGCTCTCATATCTTTTTGATTGTTTGAATTCGAAACACCAAGCCTGTTCACCAGAAAAATACGCAATCCAAGACATACTCGTGAGAATCATCATGCAACGCCAGCAACTCGATCGCCTGGCTGCCATGTGTCTTCCTGTTTAGTTCCTGGAGGGAGCCAGCCTCCATTACCAGTACCAGGAGTACGGCTGCGAGGAACACCATCGTCTGACTTTTTTGGATCTTCTGCCGCAGAAGGCCGACCAAAGTAGCCCTCATGGTAGGGATAAGAGCGGGCGTTGAGCTCAGTACTTTGAGGGGATTCCATGATAGGCGTTGGGCGCAATCCATTGTTTGTGGTGGGGAGAATCGATGATCGCTTAATCTGCATCGACTGAGCCTTTTGATCGGCCTTGTTGCCAGACTTTGTTCGGTCATACAAGTACAGACCCAGAAAGGTGAGAGCAATGCCCACACCTTGCAGGGGTGTTGTGGGACTCCTGAACCATACCAGAGCCAAGACAATGACGAACACACGCTTGATGAGACTGGCTACTGAATAGGTAACAGGGGATACCATGGAGAGCAGGATGAAGGCGAGAATGTTCTGGCCGAAATGGAAGACACCGTTGAAGACAAACTCAAGCGTGAGTCTTCCATGGTCCATCGAGTTGGGTTGCTCATTCAAGTCTATCGAGCCCTCGTGGTAGAAGTTCATGAGAAGAGTGAACCCTTCCGACCAAAACCAGATGGGCAACGTGAGAAGAAAAGCCATACCAGAAGAGTAGCAAAGTAAGTTGAGCTTGTCCAACTTCTTAGGTAGTGAATGGGGCGACTCGGCCTCTGCTTTAGCAGCCTCGTTGAAGAGCTTCTTAGAGAAGATGTTTTGGGTAACAAAGATGACGGTAGCCAAAAGAGCATGGATGACACCAATGAGCTCTCCACCATAGGTCGTTTTGCCCGAACAGGCCAACATGACACCGAACGTGAGAGGGATCAGAGACAGATAGGTCGTCTTGGGGTACCGAATGTCGTACACAATCCTATAAGCGAGAACAGTAAAGAGGGGTGAAAGACCCTTGATGGTATGGACAAGTGACACAGGGATCTTTGAGGTAGCTGTCGAACTAAGAAGGTGACCACCGATCTGGAATGCGGCTAAAGGCAGAGTCGTTCTGATAACGTCGCGAGTTGGCTTTCGAATTGGGTGCTTGAGAGCTGTGATTTTGGTTCGCAAGACTGGGAAGATGGTCGCAAGCCATGCCATGAAGATACATAATGAGGAGACGAAAGCGAATTGGACCAGCGTCAAGGTAGCGGGCTTATCAAAAGCTATCAAGATGGACTTGGAGGAGGTGTTGGTAAGGGCAGACGAAGTGTACCACAACAGGCACAGAATCTGTGTACCGCAACATCAGGTCAGCACATTGAACTGGTAACTCTACATTGGGCTTGGGACTCGGGAAGAAGGGGCGTACAATAAGCTTCGGAGAGACGGGGGCACGAAGGGCATCGGCGATCTCGTGGGCGTTCTGGCTCACACTGCCATTGCGACCTCTTATGGTACGAATAGCATCTGTGAGGCTCTTTTGTCGATTGTGCCCTCGAGGAGCTGTTGACCAGCCATTATCTGACTTCGAGGCGGGTCGCCATCGATCTGAGGGACGAGGAGGTGCGCCGTTTGTCCAACCGGGAGGATTCAAAGTGCTCTCTGACGGTGATTCGCCCAGGGGCGTATCGATGAAGTCGGGGAACTTTTCCATCACAGGAGAGTGATAAGAAGGGAGAGAATATTAAATTGCGGCGCAAAGGCCAGGTATTAAGGTTGCGTGTTCAGTTTGAATTGATTCGAATCGGGGTTTAAACGAGCGACAAATGACGAAGGCAATATTCGAGTAACTCGTTATAATCGTCGACGAAAACGTACGCTCATCGCTTATCGAAGGGTCGACTCGTAATGGCTATCTCCCAAGTACCTGAGGCTGTAGGCCAAGGCGCGAGCTACAAGTCGAATGACGAAGCCAAGCCTGAGAACGAAAGCGCGGGATGGAACAAATGACAGCGCTCGAATAAGGCGACGTTGCTGGCTCTATGGAAATAAGGACCAGAAGCTGGTGAAGCTAAAGAGAAAAAAGAATGCCAAGTTATAACCAAGTGCTGCAGCTTCTATTGGTGTTCACGTCAAAGTAGGAATGGTGCAAGTGGGATAAGCAAGGTACAGCCTATAATTAAACCAAGAGGCTCCAATAGGAGAACGAATCGATGCCAGATAGATTGCACACGGGGGGTTACAGGGGCCCATTCCTTGGGACCTTCTGTAATAAGCCTGTAACCAACATTACGTGGCTTGCTAGCCTCCCTCCGCGGTTAGTCCGGCAGCCGCCGCTGATAAGCTGATAAGGCACCTTTAGCCGCCCTGAGCCGCCATTTAATTTACGTGAGCTAACTAACTTAGGTACGCTAAGCCTAAGGCTAAGCTGCTACTCTGAGGTTGATGGGAGACAGACTTTTGAAGGCGTCGCGCAAAAGTCGTCTCCACCTGTATCAGCTAAACCAATCTCTCTGTTGGCGCATCCAACTGTGCTTCTGTTCCAACACCACCCTCCTTCGACTCTTGTGTGTATTGTCTCTGTTACTCGAGGGCATGAACAGGGACCCTAAGCAGGCCATTCTCGCGCTCGCCTTGTCCTACGCCACCTTCCAGCTCACGACCCAAGTCTTCAATCCAACCACAAGCAAAAGGCAATCCTTGGTCGCGACGCCAACGTCGCCAGCCTCTGATTCACTATGGCGGCCCCAAAGATGACCAAGAACCAGATGCGCAGGGCCAAGAAGAAGGAGCAGAAGAAGGCTCAAGCAGAGGTGAGTTCTGGTCTCCTCGCCCCCGTTGCGACATCACCCGCTGACGCGCTACAGGCTACCCCTACAAAGACCGAAGAAACCGCTGAGGCTACCAGCCGTGAAGAGCACGATGCCGCCGAGCCTGCGACGACAAATCTCGAAGTGAAGAAGGGGTCGACAACGGAAGATGCCGCTACCACAGATGGTCATGCCACTGAAGTTGACATGGATGAGGAGGATCCTGCATATGCCATGTACAAGGACATCTTTAGCAAATTTGGCGCGTCGATGGAAGAGGACGAAATCGCCAAGGAGGCCAACGCTGGCAATCAAGGGACAGTGTTTTACGCGGATGACGACGAGATTCCAGACGAAGACGAGGAGAACAACGGACAGCCCAAGTTATCCAAAAAGAAGAAGAAGCAGCTCAACACCATCTCTATCGCAGAGCTCAAGGCGTTAGTCAAGGTCCCTGAGGTGGTAGAATGGCAGGACGTATCCTCGTCGGATCCTCGACTACTTGTTCAGATCAAAGCTCAACGAAACGTCGTTCCAGTACCAACCCATTGGTCTTTAAAGCGAGAGTATCTGTCTTCAAAACGAGGTATCGAGAAGCCACCTTTCCGGCTACCCCAGTTCATCGCAGAAACCGGCATTACCGAAATGCGCGATGCCGTCCTCGATAAACAGGCAGAACAGTCATTGAAGCAGAAACAGAGGGAACGTGTTGCTCCAAAGATGGGCAAGCTCGATATCGATTACCAGAAACTTTACGATGCTTTCTTCCGTTTCCAGACCAAGCCCGAATTGACGCGATTCGGTGAGGTTTACTATGAAGGCAAAGAGTCTGAGGTTGATTACCAACATTTCCGACCGGGTGACCTCACCGAGGGTACTAAGGAAGCCCTGGGAATGCCTCCTGGTGCGCCACCACCATGGCTCATCAACCAACAACGATTCGGGCCTCCTCCATCCTATCCTACTCTGAAGATTCCTGGACTTAATGCGCCACCACCGGCTGGAGGCTCATGGGGCTTCCATCCCGGTGGTTGGGGTAAACCCCCAGTTGATGAGTTCAACAGGCCTTTGTTTGGTGGTGATGTCTTCGGTCTTGCGGCACAGGGCGGACAAGGAGGCGCACAAATGCACGCGGGAGCCGGTGAGCCTGTAGAGAAGAACTTGTGGGGTGAGCTGCAGCCACGAGAAGAGGAATCAGAGGAGGAGGAGGAGGAAGAGTCAGATGAAGAGGAAGAGGAAGAAGACGATGATATTCCTGGCGGAACAGAGACACCCAGTGGCCTCGAGACTCCCGGTGGTTATGCCAGCACGGTGCAGGCGGACTATGGGCAAGGTGTCGAGACGTCTATTGCTGGTGAGATGGACTTACGAAAGGAGCGCCGTGGCTACGACACAGAAGAGTCTGGTGCTCCTCGATCCGCCTACACGATCCTGCCAGAGCGCCAAGTTCGCGCCGAAGGATTCTTCGGTAGTGACAGGGTATATGACCTCAAGCAAGCACAAGCAGCTCAGCGAGCAGGTGTGCCTGTTCTCGGCGCCGATGACGATTCACGCAAGCGCAAGAAGCCTGGCGATATCGACGTTGCTCTTGATGTCGACTCGTTGCACAACCACGATGGTATCAGCAAAGACGACCTGCGGCGCAAGTTCGAGGAGGGTAGGAAGGAAGAGGGCATTGGAGCCAAGTGGGCGTATGACGATGACTTGAGTGAGATGATCGCTCAGGAGAGCAGGAAGAGACAGAAGACTGAGGCAGAGCTCAAGGAGAAGCGGAGGGAAGGCAAGGGAAGATACTAATATTGACAGTCAAGAATTGTCAGACTGTACCATTGGTGGGAACTGGGGTTAGTGACCAGGCGTTTTAATATCTAGTTTACAACGGGGACAGGGCAGCTCAACGGCTAAAACAGGGTGAACACCATGCTTCTTGAGGTTTGGTAAATACATCAAGGACATGGTTGTGGAGTGAATATCAAACGAGTGGCCACGATGAGGCATCGGGCTTTCGGTTCCTGGCTTTGTTGCAGGCAAAACGGAATAAAATTGACAAGTCCTCCTTTCACAATATGTTATCTAAATGTTGGAATATATGGATTTATATCACAATATGTTGATCTATGGCATCAAAGAGTTGCTTTTTCCGACAGTCTATTCGACGCTGTGTTTGATGACGAGTTTGAAACCAAACCTGACCCTCGTAGAAGTCCCTCATGTCATCGATCTAGACGATCTCAATGAGATTCTCAAGTATAATACGTGGGCAATGCCTATGTTGGTGGTAAACTTGTCGTCTCATTCCTTTGTTGGATTCGTATTTGCGTACTTGATCACTCCAGAGAGCTTGACGACTGTTCTCTAAGAGAAACAGATAGGAACAGTGAAGGGAGCCCTCACTTGTGACTAGAAGACGCAGGTAAGTATGCATTGATTTGTGCTTGGCAATCGGTACGTTCATATGTGATGTACATGAATATAACCCCAGCCTGTGGATGTTGGTCCTGATGCTGCCGCGATCATACAAGGCTGGGTTACAGAGAGAGCCAGCCAATATTACCTACAGACCCATCCTTCGCGATTGTTGAAGATGAGCGCAATAAGTCCTGTAAGGCTGAAGCTCAGGGGATAAATTAGGGTTGGGTTTGAGGCTGTTGCAGGTGGTGGCTCGGATGAGTTGTTTGTATGGGTTGTGTTGGCAGCAATTGCCTTAGGGAAACCCAAGTTGCCAGGCATGCATTTAATGAACAAGCTGCCCATTCCCGTCAGGATAACAACCAGCCTGGAGGTGGCCAGTGGCCCTGGATCACTATCTCATCGTCTCTCACGCAATGAGAAACTGTGCAGATGTCCATGTGACTCAAGTGTGTACCTAAACCGCTCGTTCAAGCTCCAGCAAAGCCAGCAGTTCTCAACCCCTTGCACGCTATAAGCCTGCTATTGGTTAACAGTCAATGGAGTGCCAGCTCTGCATTTGTCAGGACAAACTAGCGCGGCCAGCTGCTGAGGCCAGCCAACGGCCAAGGTAAGCAGGCCATTCCATCACACAGACACAGACCCATACGGGCACATCAAGGCAAAAGGAGAGATTCAGATGGGATTTGCAAAAAGATCGAACAACATACAACAGCGGGGATTCGCTGGTCGTCACCGACCCAACTACTAATCCGCCGGTTAGTGGCTTGACTATGGGAGAGCGGACGGGATCCCGTATTTTCCACTACCTTTGGTCGTATGTGATGAGACAGACATCACCATTTGGGTTATATGCACGGGTGCTAGAGCGGAGTGAACGAGGTTTCAACCACTGGAATGCGACAGTTCCAGGAGAGTTAGTGGGAGTCATGAGTAACCTATCTCTATTCACTTTCGTTTCTGGTACCAACACTCTTGATTCTGGATATGAAACCTGCCACGGAAGGGCTCCATCACCTCGAATTGCGTTGCGTTGCGCATGATGTTCTGCAGCGCATGAATTGCCCAACGTTCAACGCCTGGACCAACCTCGGAAATTTGACTGAGGGTGAAATGCGAAGACTCTGTTATATACCTACAGTAGGTAAGGTAAGGTAACCTGTCAAGCATGGCTGAGCTGAGTCAGGTATGTACATGCCTACCTATCTCACAGCGGGAGGCTTGCACCTCGTGCGTGAACCAGGTGGGGCCGCAATGTGGGATAACATCCAACCAGATCGTGAGCGGAGATGGTGACATCGTGGGCCTCGCTGAGAGTTGTTTCGAAAACTCCAGGGAACCGCCCCAAGGAAGGCACGATGAAAGAGCAAAACACGGTGACTTTGCCGAGACTGAGAGTGTTGTTAAGCTTGTATCAGTCAGTACTCGCCTCGGGATGACCTTGGCAGAGTTGGGTGAAATGTTGGAGCACTGCCTGGTAAACAAACAGATGTAATTAATGGCTTCTGTTGAGTGTTTGGGTACAGAGCGGATACCTATAGATAGGTAGTCATGGTCATGGTTACTTATGCAGGAAACGCGGCGATTGGCTGATGCTGACAACATGAGGCTATCTTGGTACTAAGCCATTGATCATGCACCGCGTGCGCACTGTGGTGTGTTTCTCATTTTCATCGTCAAAAGGCGTGTCGTGGACTCGAGTGTGCGGTTATCACGCTTGTTCTCTGCGATACAATCCCATCTGCAATGGATCAATGTGCTGATCTGAGTGAGTGGGTGGGTGGGTTCTCATGATGGGCGTTGATTGCTTGATGGTGCCCGGTCACTGGTCACTCAATGAACACAGGCGAATTCTGTGACGTATTGTATACGATGACTCGCACAATCCATCGAGGCCACTGTGTCTGATATGCTATACAAGAATCTTTGGCTCACTTATGCCATGTTGATCTGTTACCCAACGGCACATAATACCCATGAGCTGGCGGCAGCGAGGTGACCATGATGAAGCCACCCACTTGACCGATGGAGTTAATGTCACTCTGAGCGTCCTTCAGTGGCCGTATTATCAGGTTATTGACAATAATTGTGGCATTTTATTGGTGCTGAGGCACTTCAACAACGCTGCTCATCCAACTCATGATGGCCTCATCATTCCGCCATCAACCATAGAAAGGTCGTATCACCTTCCACATTCCTTAAACCATACGAAACGCATGTTTCATTGCTTTCGAACCTTTTATAGTAGAATCCACCCATGATCATTGCACATGCAATACCTTCTGGTCCCGATGTGTACGTATGTGAAAGAACTTGGCTTGAAATAATAGCCGAGGGCCTTCCAGTTATCCAAGAAGCCTTGCATATAATAATAATAAAAGCGATACAAATAGGCCTAGGATATTCATATCATACCTAATACTTGGGATACTGAAAACGACATGGTCATTTGGACACTGTCCACCTACATGCCACGCCCCCAAGCACCTCGTCAAACAGCTCGTCATGTGCTGTAAAATAGACCACCAAGAGTGACCAGATATCATCAGCGGGTTTCTTATTCCTTTTTGATGTGATTAGAACTTGGATTCGCCATTTCCCTGAATCATATTATTTACCGTTTAAAACTCGAACCCTATTAATACTACTCTCTACCAATTACTTGCCTTCCTCTATCACATTGGATCCAGACTGGTCGTTCAATTTTGGCGAAATCCTTCCACTAGGCATTCAAATTTATAGCCTCGATGTATCTCGAATTAATCCCTTCATGAAAAGGGCTAATGCGTAAAGAAGAGGCTTGGTACAAGAAAATCAAGGTCGAGTTTCTCTCCAACCTTTGATCTTGAATAGCATAGCATCAGAAAACATGCCACCATGTCTAATTCACATTAAATACATTTAGATGACTCCTCTGTACTCATCGGCCATATCTTGGAATCTATCAGACTATTATGCTGTCCCGTGACAAAGTATTCCCTGACACCATCAATTTGATGATATATATATGCTGTTATCATCCTGAGGACACCACTTTTGCAGCAATAGCCAAGACCGTTATGACAACCGCCCAGCATGCCTAAAACTTGATTGGCGAGTGCTAGAGAGCTCTTTCAATATGTATATCAAGTGTGTTCGACTTGTAGCCTTTCAAAGTATCGTGAGGTGCATCGGGCGAATCAGCCTCTCAGTCTGCAAGGTATTTTGAATTTTCCATCGACAATGCATCTATTGAGTAGAATATATTGACAACCCCCAGATTGTGCAGACTGAGGTCGTTTCGTCAAGACCGGAACTGATACGACTACTGGTGTTGGAGTTGTTGTGGTGACCATCAACTATTTCATAACTTAACTGTTCATCCTTATATAGCTACGCAGTCTCCCTGAGATGCAGACACACCCAAGTGCTAGCCGCATCAACTGAGTTACGCTTTGCTTACAATTCCCTTGATTCTACGTTGTAGCAGCGTCTTCAACTAGCCCTGCATGCCCGCCTGGCCGTGGCTATACTCAAGGCGATCATCGCGATGGTTGCTACTTCATCGTTACGCTCAAATCTGTTACACACGTAAACAAACAGCAAAATGCAGGTAGTATAGTTATATAATACAGACCTCCAAAAGTTTGCAGTACAAGCTGCCTCGACAGAGATGAGCTGCGAAAACCCAGCAATGTCCACGCCTGAAATGATCCACCCTCTACCTCAATCCTGATCAACCGACTCCGGGCATGCCTTCTCATCAGTGTCCCGATCCCAATAAGCGCCGAAACGACTATAAAAACATAAATTCAATGCCATCCTTCCACTCACGATATCTCCAAGTCTGGCTATATTCCCCACCACAAAATCTCGAGGCGATTATTCACTTCTTTTTGGAGTTCGCCGCTTTCGTGTTAGCTTTTCGAAACCTGGCCCTCTTCATGGCTGTAGGCTCATCAGATTCCCCAACAGTCACGTTCGCACGTCTTTTTCTCAGCGCTTGACGCGTAGTCATCGAATGGGAAGCTTTTGCGCTTTGAGAGCCAGTGCTGCTTCGGTCGCCTCCGTTCAAGCTTGCTGAATTAGGTACTGGGATGCTTCGCAAGGATATGGACACCCCGCTCTAGGAGGTTGCTTCCGTTTTGCTACACCCATTGCAAAGCCATTTGGGACGAGTGACCGGAATGGATGCTGACTTTTCGATGCAACTAGCATGGTAAAGTCGATTTGAGCATTTCTATAAAATTGTTAACAGTGGCTTGCCGTCAAACGGCCTTGGCATTACCTTGTTTGAACAGATGAGTAGAGAAGGTCCAAGAACGGGGAGCTGACACACTGTACACCCATTCGCGCCTCTCGTGATTTGTGAAGCTCGAGGCGACTGTTTTAATGTAATATCCGCCGCA